CCCTGAGTCCGCTCCCGTCCTATGAGGCAGGAGCTCGCGTGGCTAGAGCTAAGCGATAGTCAGCAGCAGTTCGACGCTAAGCTAGATCTGCAATGAATGAAATGGTTAGAGCTAAGCGACAACCAGCCGCAGTTCCAAACAAAGTTAGATCTGCTTTGAATGAAAGTCATGACAATGCACGCCGCACAGTGCTATTGCCGAGCATAGCGCCAAGCTTGCATGAAGGGTGTCTGGCTGCTCTAAGCGCAGAAGCCGTTCGTAAGCCTGTAATGTTCGCTTGCAGTCTTTCGATAGGAATTGTCAGGTCTCAGACAGTTCAATCAATGAAGCGACATGTCTCAGACATGGAATACTAGCTGTACAATTGTCCATCTCACTATGAGGGGGGACTTGACGTTTTACTGTGTCCAGTAACCCTCCATGTAAAGAGTGGTAAAAAGGTCTGCAGCCGCTGCCACTTCGCGGTCACGGCGGGTCTAACTTGTTGCTTCTTGGTGTTGTTTGTGTTGGTGTTCCGTTTCAATGGTTCAAGTTTAAAGGAGTCGTGTTTTTTTAAGATTATGCTTTTGATGTTTTGTTTTCTGCTCTTTGCTTTTGTTGCTTTGCTGCTTCTGCTGTTTTTGATGCCTTTTTGCTTTTCGTGTTTGTTGTTTAATTAAATGCTCTTTGCTGTTGTTGCGTTACTGCTTTGGCAGCTGTTTTCCTTTCGTTTTTTTTGGGACGGGCTTGTCGTGAGTTGCCGAAAATGAGTGTCTGTAAGATTAATCGAGATTAATCCACGAGTTAAAAGTCAATCAGAAGTGCAGCGTCCAAGAATCACCAAACATTTCTTCCTGGAAGAATGCAGGATATGTCCATGATGAAGGCATCAGTTTGAACACTACGGTATGACTTTGAGTCTAGTTAGTTATTACTTGGTAAAACTACATACAGTAGTTATATATGTTTGGTATCTAAAACCATTGGTCAAGTTCTGTTTGCCAAACACAATTAGAATATAGTATTTGGTATTTGCCTTTCTTCAACATCACATTGCCCCGCATCACCCTCGTAAGTTAAGCATCCCACCTGATTACTTTATTGCCACCGTTTTATTCTACGTCCTCTATGTATTCAATAATCATGTCCAATAATGCGTCAGTATCAAAAGCACCCACTCTATCCTGACTCCCATCAGATTTTGATACTACACTGCCTCAGTCAAACTTTCAACATCTATACTGTCTATACTCTTTGGTTTCTGTTACTTCCCCTTTCCAGCATTCCTATGTTAACATTGACAGTCATTTTTTCCGTGTGTATCTTCATGCTGTTTAGTGTTTTCATTTTTTTGCACCCTTTATAAGAGCCAACTGTCATACACAAGAGGGCTGCTGTTTACAATGCAAAATGTCAACCTTATCGGCAAATTACTTAAAAACAACATACCGTACATTAATAGATAGTGTAAAAACAACAATGCAATTTCATCAACTACCCTCATCAAGAACACGCATAATTGTCCTATCTCATTGAACTGATGCTTATCTAGAATCGTAGGCTCTACATACATCAAAGCCTTTGAAGACTGATAACGTTTTTGTTTCCATTAAACATTAAACAGTAAGCGTAAGCCTTGTTCTCGTCTATTTCCAAGTGCACCTCCCTGTTATAAAGAAAGGTTTGAAATGTTCCAGCCGGTGGGACTGTTCTACACTGGCTCAGGATTTCAATATTTACTTCAGTATGTATGTAAAGGATTAAACGTTTTTAGTTGCGAAAGAACATATGTATTCTTTGCCTCAACTGTTTTACTGGCATTGATTGAGTCTGTTAGATGTTGGGTTTTCACCTTATGTTATTTGATCTACTGTATGGTTTTTCTTTTTCAGCTTGAACCTGATATTCAAGTCTGGGATTATACCTGAACAAAAGCTTGATGTCAGGATTGTATCCTGCCTTTTTGCTTTGACAAATGATATTCTTTGTAAATCATGGTGTGTCCATCCTTCTCAGTGTATTCAGAAAGTCGTCAATGCCTTCAATCATCCTACATTCAATGGGGTCATCCGTGGTGTTGACGTGAAGTCTGACGGCTTGTGCCCATACAATTAACGATTCTGGCTGATACAGTGTATTCTTTGAGCACCTTATTCCTTTCATTAACTGATGCTCCAAATGTCTTGAATCATGAATTCTCCAGCAGTTTTACCCGTGAGTTCCAAGACTTTATCTCTGGTCATCTTCTTCATTCTGGGCTCATTGCCATAAAACGTCACATTCAGTGTGTTTCAATTACATGGTTTCTTCAAAGGTTGCATAGTCAGTGTCAAGTTCGGTTTTTTGAATATACCGTGATAAACTTCTATTTTAGCATTCCCTAAGTTTCTCTCCTCTGGTTTTTTGGTCACCGTACATAATGATGCCATCAACATACTCATCCATATCGAAAGTAATCAAAGTAGGCGTGAATGTCATCATATTGCATCAATACTGAGATGACCACCTTGAAAGTCCTTTTGCAATCAACTCTGTTAATCCTTTTCTTGACATGTTCTTCAATGTGTTTGGTTGTCTTGGCGTGTGCATATAGTTTGTTTCCTGTTGTTGGGTGGTATTTGTTTTTCGTGCTTTCACCAAATCCCATAACAAGCACCACTAGTTAGCTACACATAACTGACATAGAACCATGAACATTGTCAAGGCAGAAGGGATCAGAAGGGTCAGATGAATAGGACTGATCTGGATTAACCCTACAGATGCCTGACACTCGGAAAAACCAATGATTTCGTCACTACTTTCATTTCAGCTTTGGACTCGTTTTTTTTGGTTTTGGGCTTTGTGTACTTCAACAGCATTGCCGTCAGATATGTCGCAGATATGGTTGGTTTGGGGTTTGTTGTGAGCGCGCAAAAACAATCAACCAAGGATATCACAATATCGTTCAACGGAAGCGATTTTGCACAATTCACAACACGCCCTTTATAAACTTTATATAGTTGTTTTTTTGCGCGCGCCGCTTTTTGCTTTGTCTATGTTGTTTGCTTTTTTTCTACGAAGTTGCCTTTGTTGTTTTGTTTGTTTGTGGTTGCTCTTTGTCTTTTGTTTCTGTCGTTTTCTGTTGCGCTTGATGTGTGTCTTTGCTTGTCGTATGTTCTTTTGTTGGCTTTTGGCTTTTGTTGCTGTTTACTGTATTGCATTTGTTGTTGTAGCTTCTTGGCTGTGTGTTGCTTCTTGCTTTTGGTGTTTCTGCTTTTGCTGCTGTTGCGCTTATTTTTGCTTCTCTCTGCTATGCTTCCCGGGAAACTGAATTTGTGAACGGTCGACCACGCTGCAAGCAATTTGAAACCTGCACTATTCCAATGATTTTGCCAGCCTGCGACAGCTGTTTCTCTGCTAAGTGCACCAAATTGCTGTGATTGGCTAGGAATTAATCTGAAACCTTCACCATTCCAATGCATTTATGCCAGCTACGACGGACTCTAAGATGGCACATCAAAACCTGGGATGGAACATGACATATGAGTCAAAATCAACCTCAAAAACCTCAAAAACCTCCAATCATCCCAGCTCTCCCACCTGCCCCACCCCCTCTTATATATCCTTCCTCTCTCTTGCGCTTCTCTTTCTTTTTCCTTTGTCTCTTATCCTCTGCTGTCCCTCTTTCTTCCTTGATATACGTTTGTCCTATTTCTTTTCCTTTCCTACCTTTTTCTTTTGAACCTTGCGTTCTCTCGCTCTCTCTCTCTCTCTTCTTTCCCCTGTTCTCTACCTTCCCGCCTGACAGTCTCCCTTGTGCCATCTTAGTGGCTCCACTCATCCCAGCTATCCCACCTGCCCCAAACCCTTTCATATATCCTTCCTCTCTCTTGCGCTTCTCTTCCTCTTTCCTTTGTCTCTTATCCTTTACTGTCCCTCTTTCTTCCTTGATATACGTTTGTCCTATTTCTTTTCCTTTCCTAGCTTTTCCTTTTGAACCTTGCGCTCTCTCTCTCTCTCTCTCTTCCTCTCTCTTTTCTTTCCCCTGTTTTCTACCTTCCCCCTGAGAGTCCTGGCGTGTGCCATCTTAGTGTTTCCCATCATTCCATCTTATATCGTTCCTCTCTCTTGCGCTTCTCTTCCTTGTTCCTTTGTCTCTTGTCCTCTACTGTCCCTCTTTCTGCCTTTATATGCATTTGTCCTATGTCTTTTCCTTCCCTAGCTTTTTCTTGTGAACCTTGCTCTCTCTCTCTCTCTCTCTCTTCTTTCCCCTGTTTTCTACCTTCCCCCCTGAGAGTCTCCCCTCTCATCACCTGGCATGTGCCATCTTAGTGGTTCCCATAATCCCAGCTCTCCGACCACCCCTCCCCTCTTATATATCCTTCCTCTCTCTTGCACTTCTCTTCCTTTTTCCTTTGTCTCTTGTCCTCTACTGTCCCTCTTTCTGCCTTGATATACATTTGTCCTATTTCTTTTCCTTTCCTAGCTTTTTCTTTTGAACCTTGCTCTCTCTCTCTCTCTCCCTCTCTCTTCTTTCCCCCCTGAGAGTCTCCCCTCTCATCAGCTGGCATCTGGTATGTGCCATGTTTCTGTTCTACTCCGTGATGTCACCCGTTGCTAGTGGTCAACATGGCACATTGAGCACTTTTACGTGTGCCACCTATTCGGCAAACAGTATAGCTAGCAATGAATGTGAAACCTGCACTATTCCAATGTATTTTGCCAGCTGCGACAACTGTGTCTCTGCTAAGGACGCCAAACAGCTGTATTTAGCCAAGAGTTATATAATATGAAGCCTGCACTATTCCAATGCCTTTTGCCCGCTACGGCAGCTGTTTCTCTTTTAAGGACGCCCAATTGTTGTAATTAGCAAGGAAATGTGAACCGGAGGATGTTGAAAACAAAACACGAAAATAATGAATATATATATATATATTTTTTCCAAAGTTTAAAGTACACCCATTTTTCACTAAATGCAGTACAGTACAGTATTTGATTCTGATCATTGTTGCGTGAAACTGGTGCGCTATGAGGAGTCTGAGATGCAGGCCATGCGTATGCATCTGCAGGCCAAGAAGCAGGAGCTGAGCAAAGCAATGGCGGAACAGTTGCAAGCTGCAGGCTACTTTGATCGCATTGCCGGCATTGCCTAATGATTTTGCAATGTGTCAGCCAATGGAAAAAGAGGTACGGCAATGTTGGAAACTCCTGGGGGGTTGTGGGAGTGGTGGGCTCATTCTCTCAGGTGATGGCGTCCGGGACCGTGCTCGACGCAAGGTTGATGCCGTTAGAAGGAAGTGCCAAGTTGAGCTGAAGACCCTCCGTGCGAAGGCTAGCCCTGTTCAGACCTGCAACATCAACGTTACCGTTACATACCGTTACGATATTCTATATGGGGTTTAATGCCCCCATGAATAAACACAACAAATTCTATTTTTTCGGCCCTAGCACTGGGCTCTCAAAGGTAAATGGAAGATAATGGAAGAACAATCTTCTCCCAGCGCTTGTCGGAAGTGCAATTCAATAAGTGGCTCGAGACCCTCGGCGAGTGTTGGGTGCGCGTGTCATTTCAAAGGTTGATTGGCTGGGTCAACGGGGGCGTCAGGTTTCGGCCAAAGGCGGAGAAGACATGATGCAATGATGTTGCACATCCCAGCCAGGCATTAAAGAGTTGCGCGAAGGTCCTGTTCTGTTTCCGTTGTCCTGTGGTAGTCGCACCTTGGCCAGGATTGGTGCAATTGTTGACGGGCGGCGTGTCAGGTAGTGTCAGGTGCGTGGGCCTATGTGGACTTCCACTGGCCAGTTCGGAAGACATGGTTAAAAGATGTTAAAAGTTAAAAGCGCGAAGGTAGTGACGGGCCGTGGTCAGCAAGAGATGATATATAATTGCGTAAAAAAAATATATAGGTATAGATTAGATATGTGTGTTGTAAATTATAAAGGTTGACAAACAAATGGGTCCGTTGAAAAGCTTGACACTCGAACACGTGAGCCGTACCAAGACTGCTTGGGGCGTTTCCTTGATTGGCTTCAAGGGGAGGTCTTACTCTCCCAAAGCGTCGCCAGCAACTGGATCAGTGGGGAAAGCCATTCAGCCGACTGAAACGTAAACTACCTGGAAGCTGGCGCCTCTTGAAAGCTTAGACTTCTGTTGAGTTCCCAAATCGTGCCCCTTAGCGCTGTGCGGTTGGTATGTCATGAAGGAACTGCCAGTTATGGCGCTTTCCCTCCCCATCGCTTTCTGCGGTCTTCGCTCGTCAAGTCAAGGAGCAGCTCAAAGCATTAAGCTGGCCAACAAATCGCTTGTCCCGTCCTCGCTTGTCCCGTTCTTGTGGTGCTGGAAGCAGCAGGCGCTTGAAATTGCCAACATATTTGTGAGCTCCACTTTTGCCCACAAGTCCTACAGCTTGCGCCATGGAGGTGGTGCCCCCCCGGCAAAGACCGCGCGCATCTATCTGAACACCCCAACTTGTCGATATGTCTCTTCCAAATTCGTTTCTGCGCCCGTGTGTGTGTGTGAAGTTTTTTAACGGTCAAGCCCGGTACTTGAGAGTGGAAAGGTGCAGAACCTTTCCAGAGCAGGGGTTGTGGAAAGGAGGCTGGAAACTGGAGTTTGATAGAACATGTATGATAGAACCGAGTTCCGAGGGGCGAATTCCAATGCCATCCAGGAAGGAGTTTTCCAGATGGTTCCCAAGTTATTCGAGCCCAAGGAGCTTTGGTTTGGTTTGGTTTGGTTTATTCAGACAGACTCTCTAATCTTTGGGAGAAGAACAACTTGTTTATGCATATTTTAATGTAATATTCCCGGGTCCCGTTGCTACTGGCAATCTAAAATGGGTGTGGTCGACGTGGTCGACCACGCTTTTGTCATTTTATTTTTCTTATTTATATAATATAGTAATATTGTAACTATATTTAATCTCACAGTATACAGTCTTTTATAAAATGGGGTTGGCACCTGCCTGCTGCCGCTGCTTGATTGGCAGGCTATCGAAGAAAGTGAAGCCAGAGAGAAGGAGGATATTTTGTGTATGTGACACTTTTTCACAACCCTTATGTCAAAGTGGAAATGGCCGCCCTTTAATGCTTTTAGGACACAAAGCTGAGAGACAAACTGTTGAAGGCCGAAGAAGCTTTGCGCCATGCTGCAGCACAGGAATTGACATCCGGCACTATGACAAGCAACTGCTCAGTCATGGTTCATGATTGAATCCAATGTCTGGACATGACCAGAATCCAGTGCCTGTCATTTTCAGGAGCGAGAAGAGTTAAAGACAATGAGGCCATCGACTCCCATTGCTATATGCTGTACCATGTTGATTGTCGTTGTTCGGGCAAGTAAGGGCTTTGCTCCTTTAAGCAAATGGAAATTGCACAGTGTTTTTGCAGAGTCATACGAGGCTTTTATGACACTGAACTTTGCTGATCAGGGAAGCAGGTGAAGCAGAGTTGGCGCGAATCGCCGCCCAATTTGAGGAGGACTCGCAAATCAGAGACATGGAATGTGGATGCACGAATGTAAAGTAGCATTTGCTCATGTTTCCGGCTGCTAGATTCTACAGTACTTAGATCAGCTCAAGCAAACCTTTGAATTAAGGCAGTACTTATTATGCTTCGGACAGTGCAATCACACACAGAACTATGCAAATGCCCAAATTTGATGCTCCAGTCCGTTCATTTCATATTTATGTCCAAGCAGCATGTATGGACACTTCTTCCCCATGTATCATCCAGTTCGCTGAGGACACCGCGCGACAACTGCAGAAGCTAGAGGCATCCCATTGCCAGCAAGAGGTGGCAGCTTATGGCAGTTTCCCCTGGAGTTTTGTTGCTCCTTTTTGTCGAATAGATTTGCAGCACCGCATATGACCGAAAAACTTGAAGCAACCAAGACTAGCGATGAGAGGAATGCAGAAAGATTACAAACAATCGTCAAGGATGAGTATCCGGTGCCGTTTTGTTCTTGTTTTAGTTCTTGACCAACTGGGATGCACACCACAATTCACTACAAGTCACCGGGTGAGTTGCTTGAAGGAGATGCTCGTGATGCGCGAAGAGCACAGCTCCCAGGCACAAGGTGCGAGGTTTTGGCATGCGTGTTTTCAGGGAAACATATATGTAATTAAATAACACTCGATTCGTTTCTGCGGGAAGCTTTGACTTGTCCCGCTAGACCTCGGCTGCCTCGGCTTCATCTGGAGCAATTCCAGGTAATGCCACAGCTCAAGCTTGGAAGCAGCGTTTGGCAGATGCAGAGCTGGCAGCAGCTGAAGCACGGGCGCAACTGTGCGAAGCTTTTTGGAATGATAATATATCTTCGACACATTTTGTCAACTCAGGCCAAGACTGGCAGATACCCACAGCACCCCAGGCAGGTTGTTCAGGTAGCAGCTCAGTGTGGTCCTTGATCGAGGCTTCACAAGTACAAGAGAAGCTTTGGCTACAGAGCTCGCAGAGGGTGGAAGAGCTGCTCGATGAGTCTCTTGCTAGCAGCTTGGTCCTAACAGCTGTGTAGCTAGTTTGAACCCAGCTCAGGTCTTCAAAATTGGAGGAGGAGACTCCGATCTTGCCTTTTGGATTCCACTACCGGGACCGTCTCAGGTAGACAACAGAGATGTTTTGTGTTTTGTCCTTGAGTCTCGCCTCAAGCTTGAGGTCCAAAGAAGTAACAGGTGGCAGCAAGAGAACGGAACTTATCTTAGCAGCTTGAGTTTTAAAGCAGGTACCTAGAATAAAGACATGGAACTTTTCTACCCCGCTCACCGCTACCACGGAGTGTTTTTCCCGCAGAGTCATGCAGAGTCAGTGTAGCCCACCGTGGGACTCAGGAGGATGTTTTTCATCACGAGGCCGCGATACCTTTCGGCATGAGTCTAGTGTGAGAATGCTTGACTCAACGCACAAGGGGTTTTATGAGACGGGCCAGTTGCAATAAGCTTTTCAGGTGAGAATCATTACCGGTAAGCAGCCGCTGGACTGGAATCTTGCAGCGAATATTCCAAGAGCACCTGGTTTGTTTACAAAGAAGGCACTGCGCTTCTCAGTTCTATTGCAGTTCCATGTGTGCTTGAAATGGGGGGGTGTTGCGCAGCCAGCCCAAACGAAGGCTTGGAATGAACATCAACTGACGCCGCATACCTGTTTCATCCTATTTCTGATAGCCCTTGAAACTGCTCACCTTTTGTCCGTCCTTTTTTTCGCGCTGGCTGGAGAATTCAAAGTGACATGACAAGGACACTGTCACTGCACTTGTAAATGCGGCGTTGTATGTGTCAGTCACCTAAGGACTTGCGCAGACAGCCCAACTGGACAAAAGGGGCTAAGTCCATCTCCTGCAACTTCATTGGTGTCGGATGGAGGCATGCATTGCAGGGTGCTGGTATTATATAGCAGATATTAGCAGCATTTTGTAGTTTCATGATGTTTCATGCTTTATGAGTTTATGAGTGCAATATGTTCTTCCTATTGTCGGTGTCCCGAAGCTATTCGATGCATATATAGAGTTCACAGTTTAAAGTGGCTAGCAGGCTAGCGCATGCACGACATGGACATCCATGAGCCCCAAATTTGAGATATGGCAATAGAATGAAAACCACCTGAAGAATTGACAAATACCTTCCCCGGCTGGTTCTCGCTCCCTTATCATCCTGGTCCGATTATAGTATTGTCTATAATTTATATATAGACAGTTTATGTATATATACAGTAGTCAATTAGGTAGTATGTATTATTTGGAGGCAGGACCCCTAGATGCGTTGACACAAGATCTATTGATAAGGAGCTCGACTTCCCGGTTCTTTTGGTTTTTCGGCACGCAAAGCGCTGCCCATCAAAGAGATCTAGCTTTCTCAGTCCTTGCGTGCGCGCGATAAATTCAGAAGTACAGATCTCAGATTCATTTCACATGAATTTCAGACGCCAGTTAAAGTGCCATATCAGTACTGGTTCGCCGTCGCCAACTCCAGACAGGTCAGAGTCACACCGCCAACGTCACAACGACGCTGCCATTGGTCTACGCCGCGGCGCTTGAAGGATTCAGCTGTGTAGCTGTTGTTGTTTGGGGATGTTTTGGGTCCCTTGGAGGTTTTGTTGATTCAACATATTGTTGCTTGTGGTTCCATCAACGCGCTTTGTTTATGGTGTCAGGGATCGAAACACATGGGTGGGGCGCCGTCTACCCTCCGGACGATCCTCCAGCTTGGACCATTCTGCATTGGGCAGCTATGGAAGGCTCACAAATCGGGCTCGTCAATGCAAAAGCACTTTATACATTTTGTTTTAAGAGGCTGACGCCCAACAGTGGGCCAGCAGGCAAACGAAGGACAACGTAGGAATGCAGGTTGTTGTTTGTTTGTTTGTTTGTTTGTTTGTTTGTTTTATGTGTTTGTTTGTTCCCCACCTGCCAGGTGAGGGTTGTTAGATTTTATCAGAGCTATTCTCCTCTCCTCTTCTCCTCTACTCCTCCTCCTCCTCGTCTTCTTGACACTACCGCCCCTCTACTGCCAGCTCCAGATCGCAGTGGGCTATACCTCAACTGCACGTGCATGATTCACAGGGGGCACTCCCGGACCCCAACAGCAAGCGCCAGATCGCAGTGGGCACCACCGGACCTCAACGGCAAGTGCCAGATGGCAGTGGTTGCCGGACATCGCCAGATAGAATGTCAAAGTCTATGCCAGATAGAGTATATGTGCCAGATATATTTTCCAGACATATAGAATGTCAGAATGTACGCCAGATAGAATGTTTCCAATGTTATAGGGTCCCCTTTAGCGAATGTACGAGAGGGTGGGGGTACCCCAATGTACAAGAACCTTGCCCGTACATTTTTCAGTTTGAAAATGAATGTGTGAAAGAGAATGTATCCTTTTGGGAAGATTTCTTGTATCCTTTTGGGAAGATTTCTTGGGACACAATTTTTCTGAAGTGCCTCTGGAAAACATGGATCCATTGTTGGTAGGGATTGGTTAGGGAAGACAGGTGCAACACCTGTACATGAGTTGTGCAGACATCAGAGAGGCCCCTTCCGCAGGAGAGGATTCCCAGATGCCAAGCAACGGTTCGATCTTTGGTGCGGCTCAGCACCGTCCTATGCGCCGTAGCCTGGCCCCGAGGTGAGTCCCACACACATCTGACAGGTGAACTCCAGGAATGGGTCGTTCGGATGTCATGGGACCGGTAATTCCAGTCCAACTTGAGTGGCAAACCTGCAAAAAATCTATGAGAATCTTAGCGGACCCAGCAGTGGTTTCTTGAGCAAAACATACATCCAAACAAACAACCATAAACAACCCTGCCAAAATCACCCTTCAAGAACGCCTTCCAAAATAGCCCTGAACAAAAGCTTTTCAACATTAGACGATGCTGCTGGCATGCCGACGAACTGCAGACGGTGCGCGTGCCACAAGACTGGCGACCACGGTGGTTACATATTCCATTGCTGTCAAGAGGCCATCGATCCGGGCTCAATTTCACACATTGATACATATTGACAGATGGAAAGAGGTGGAAGAAGACACGGGCTAGTTCACTCAGGCTGGAGCTCCTGCGCGCAGCAGCGGCTCTGCTCGAAGTGCCACCAAATCTTCGGCTGCCTTGGCAAGCTGCAGAAGTTCCTGGACAGGCTGGGCTTTCCGACCGCGGACTGTAGGGATCACCTACACAAAGCCCAAAGCCCATATTCCCCCTTGTTCGAGTTGGCGCATTGAGAAAGTATTGACAGTATGCCTACTGGGCCTATAAGGTATAGGCTGGTGATTCCTCAGGGTATGTGATTGAGTTGGGGCCAGGGGCCAGTGAAACACCCTGGAAAATAACAATGGTCACACACATTTGTGGTTGGCGCTGAAGCCAGACAACCCATGCCAGTAGAGTCTGAAGAGGATGGGTTCCCAGCAACGAGTGGAAGCATGTTGGCACATTCTCTGCTAACACGCTCCAACAAAATCTCTTTGAGCTCTACTACTAACTGAGGCACCTTTAGCCCGACAATTTCACTAGTTGGAACACGCAGAAAATCATAGCGGTGGCATTTGGTCGGGGGCGCCTGCCACCTTTTTCTCCTGACATGCTTGCCATGCCTTATGGAAAGGTTTGTGGGCCAGCTCTGCGTCGCTGGCTTGCGGGCCTATGCGCTGGTGCCAGCTGGCGCTTCAGACGTGATCGATGAGCCACCTGATTTCGCATAGACGGTTGAAGCATAGACGGTTGAAGTATGTCGAAGTCCTTTGTGGGCGCTCAGCGTGTGTCGTCCTTATTGCTGAATATATTGCTGATGTGGCCCCAGAGTGCCCCCTTGAAAACGATTTTGGGGCCACGATTTCAGTGCAGGCTTCGAACGCGCCGCTTGCAGCGACTCGCTCGCTACGGCTGCGAGCGCGGCTGTTCCAGCACGGGCAGCCGCACTCGGCGCTGGACAGGACACGACAAGGCTTTTACCGCAAAGTGAAGCGCCTGCAGGCTAAGAGTTCCCCAGCTGGAAGCATACAGAATTACACTGATCGAGGCGGGTGTCACGTGCATGAGCTTCAATGGCTTGATGCTTCTAAGACTCTCAAAGCCTGGCTTTGGAAAGGGTTCTGCCCAGTTTACCGGAGCAGATGCGCAGGACCACGATGGCGATCCACTGGTACTGCCGTGATCTGTGCGCGAAGGAAGCATTGTTCATCATCATGCAACTGGGCTGTACGGTGAAGGCGCGGCATTGACCCGCAGGGACACCGTCGCTTTACAGTATCTTTGAGTTCCTTGCCTTTTCTATCTTGGCACATATAGGTCTTGCGGATGTTGGATTGGGGGGTGTTCCTGTTGCTTCCTGCATGTTGCGCGTTCCCCATAGCCATTACCAAGCCAATTGGTTTGCTGTTGTCTGGCAAGCCGCCCGTGCCGGTGCCCAGGGCCGTGCGAGCTGCGTGCAACCACGAAGAAAGCTTCATGAAGTGGTTTTGGAGCTTTAAGGCTGAACAGCGTGACAATTGACTATGTATTTATAGAGAGTACGACGCCCTGGAGGTGTGTGTTTTTTCAGTGTTTTTTGCGTTTTTCTATGATTTTCAATAGATTTTCTATGTTTTCGTTGCATTCACCCATCTGGTACACATCACTTGTGCCCATAGCCTGCTGCCCCTTTGCCATGATCTTATCAACAGATTTCCTCATCAAGCTTTTAAACACATAGCTAAAGTCTGTATCTGTCAATTGCATCATAGCTGTCATCTTGGGAGGAATGATAGACTGTAGCTGATGGGCTGCATACATCTTCTTGTATATATCGTCGCTAAATGAAACAGCAATCTGTCATCCCCGTCGACCTACCCTGGCTAGAATCAGGAGGGCTTGAGCCCCGGCTAAAAATAAAGTTCAGACCCAATCTGGTAGCATTTTATCAACTGCTTGGGCTGGGGGTATGTGGGGCTGGAGATGTATGTAAACGTTGGGCGCCCCCCATCTACTGGGTGCGCACCATGGTGATGGAATAATATGTTGGGAGGTTGGGGAGCAATGATTTTAGCCAAACATGCCAACCCATTTTAGCCCCAGGGTATTTGGTAGGTGGGTGTGTATATGTTGTGTTTTGTGTATATGAAATCCACCCCTGCAAATGTTCCACTGTTTTGCTCTCTGATACCTTGGAACCCAACCGCTTTAGAAAAAGAAAGCCACATTCCACCACCACACAACAAAGAAAACGCAAGATTGCCAGAGAATGTGTTGCGCAGATGAAATCCACATTGCCTTGGCATTTGCTTGAGCATTGCTTTGTAAGGTCTTGCAAGCCAGTCATTTGAGCCACCACACAACCCACACACACCACCTCACCAGCAAAGGCTGCAACCTATGCCCTTTGCTTGACAAATGCATGGCTGCGCAAATCTCTTGAATTGTTTGTGGTATGTCCCTAGAGTGTAGAGGTTTTAAGTTCTGATCAGGGTGGTGTTTTGTGTACATGATTTGCACCCCCTGCAAATGTTCCACTGTATTGCTCTCTGATACCTTGGAACCCAACCATTTTAGAAAAAGAAAGCCACATTCCACCACCACACAACAAAGAAAACGCAAGATTGCCAGAGAATGTGTTGCGCAGATGAAATCCACATTGCCTTGGCATTTGCGTGAGCATTGCTTTGTAAGGTCTTGCAAGCCAGTCATTTGAGCCACCACACAACCCACACACACCACCTACCCAGCAAAGGCTGCAACCTATGCCCTTTGCTTGACAAATGCATGGCTGCACAAATCTCACGAGTGGAGTGACTGGACTCTTGAGGGGGCGGATTTGAATCTTGAGATGTTTTTAATAAATTGCCAGGCAGGGTTGGGAACATAACAATTTAGCCAAGGCTGGCCAAACTTTTTTAGCCAGAGCCTATGTTGGGTTCCCCCACATTTATCCAGGTACCCAACGTCATTTTATCCACTTTTGAGCCCAAGCTTGAAGAAAATCGGATTTGTGGCACGTTGGGTACCCTCACAATTTATCCACCTTTAGGGGACCCAACCCCACCTGGTGTAGCCGAAGGAGGATAATCTGTCTGATAGATGGATACTGGACACATCCTCCTTTGCTTTGCAATGACCCATGACATAATGATATTGTCCTGATTGGAGGATGGTTGGGAATAAACATCATAGTGCTCCAACAAATGAGGATGACCCCTTCTGATCTTGACCCATTGCTCCAATGCCCTCCTGGCACTCTCTCCCTTCCTATGCAGCTTGATGTCTCCCAAATAGTTAAATGATTCATCCTCAATCCACCTGCCTTTGTCATCAATGTTGTCCAATCTTGCATGTTGCCCAGATACTATGAGCGACCCCTTGCCCACATGTCCAATGGGGTCCTCATCAGGGTTGAAGAAATTGCTCACCAGCTGATGGGCCTCAAATCTTCTCAGTTGCTGAGTCCGTCATGATAGTCAATGAGCTCTTCCCCCACCCTTTTGATCCTCAGTGGTCACCAATTGCCAATCTTGCTTCGTCTGATCATCCAATGCCTCAAGGTCCTCATTGGGTTCCTGTCTCATGGGCTTGTTGGTTCAGCTCATCTCGAAGGTCCCTCCTAATCTTTTTGATGGTCTTCCCATGCGTCCTGGTCTCATGGCCTGCAAATACAGCCTTAGTTGATCCCTTTTTCACCCATACAGGAACCTGATCTGAGAATCCAAGCATACATTCAGGCTTTGCCACAAATTCCTTCAGATCTTCATGTCCTATGGACACAAAGCTCATGA